TTATAATTTACTTTTCCAATTTTTCTCAAAATTTTATAAAGTCTGAGTTTCTTAAAATTAAGTTTATTACTTAGCCTGTTTATCTTAATGTTTACTTATTTATTTCCTCGTGTATATTAGTATAACTAAATTATATCCCCTTTCTAAAAGGTCAATCCTTTAATTCTATTTCTATCTACATATTTAATTATCCTTTATTAAATAAATTTAAGTTATTATTATAGTTTATTATATAATTTAATTATATCTTCTACTTTAATTATAGCTTTTTTAATATCTTTCCCTTACTTTAGTAGTTAGTAGGCTTTAGGTTTAAATCTATAGTTTAGGAAGAACGGTAATTTACTAATTAATTTTAATTTTATGCTATTATATGTAAGTTATATAACAGGGAGTAGTTCTACTTAATTATTTTACTTAAAATTAATATAATAATATAAATAAGTTTTAATTATTTAATTAATTCTTTTTATTTATTTATTTATTTATAGGTAGTAGACTGTATTAACCTTATAATTTATTCTTAATCTAGCTGTAAGTACTTTTTAGAATTTAAATATAAATATATTTCCTCTATCGGAGATTATATCTCCTAGTAGTTTATAGCTGCTTATAATATATTTTATTATTACATAGGCTAGTTCTTCTATATTACTAGCTTTTTTAAAGGGTATAAAGTAGGTTATTTTTATAAGTTTATTAACTACTATAAAGATATTATCATAAAGTACCTTTATAACTAGTTTTTTTAAAGGAGGTAGCTTAGTAATTAGGTTAAATAAGATTAATTTTTATAGTTATTATAGTATAGGTAGCAGTTGTAGTTATTTATATAGTTTATATTTAGAACTTTTAGCTTATTTATATATTATATATTTTAATATAACCTTTTATATCTATTTTTTAATTTTTTTAAATTTAAAGTATTAAGCAACTTACTAAATAGTTTTTTATATTTTACGGTATTTATTAAGTTTATATATATATATTAATTTTACTACTTTACTTTATAAATCTTCTAGTACTTAAATAAGTTTATTTAATATTAGGTATTTAATATCTATAGAAATATTTTCTAAATATTATTTATTTTTTTAGTTTTTAATATATTCCTTTATATTATTAATAATTAAATTATTTATTTTAATTTAGTATATAGTATTAATTAATTAAATTACTAGGTTACTATATTAATTTTTTTTTAGTATTTATACTTTTACTTCTAGGATTTTTTAAAAGTAGTTTAAATATCTACTAAGTACATTAGCGCATCTATTATCTAAGCTCCTGTAGTATTTAATTAAAAGCTTAAACTTAGAGAGTTACTTATAATACTTAACTTATTTATAAGATAGTTCTTACGTTATTATAAAGTAGGTAATATTTTAATAATCTATAAAGATTATTATTAGAAATTAACTTCCTTTATAATAGTATTTCTAATACTGTTTACTAAGTGCTTAGTATATAGCTATAAATTCTTTATTATAAATAGGGTATTTAAATTTTAGTTTATTTAGTTTCTTTAAGAAGTAGGTAATAGGCCTAAGCTTTTTTTTAGGTATATTATCTAGTTAACTAAGTACTCCTTTAATTATATAATTTAAGGCATTAGTTTTAATTATAATAGGTTTATTTAGGTTAAATATTATAAGTACTAGTATACTTATAAGAGCTTGTTTAAGGTATTTAAAAGCCGTTAAAGTATCTTATATTAATTTAAATTTAACATCTTTTTTTATTAAGTTTATAAGTAATATAGCAATTTTTAAAAAATCTTTAATAAAGCGTTAATAATAATTAGTAAATCCTAAAAAGCTTTATACTTACTTAACGTTTTATAGTAGTTCCTAATCGTTAATTACCTTAAGTTTTTTAAGGTTTATTTAAACTCTGCCTAGGGTAATAATATATCTTAGAAATATAACCCTTTATATATAAAAGTTATATTTCTTAGGTTCTACTAGGAGTTTATTATCTTAGAGTATTTATAATACCTTCTTAATATATTCCTTATGTTTTTTTAAGTTCTTAAAGTAGATAAGAATATTATTAAGGTATATAATAATAAAATAGTCTACGTAGTTTTATAATATATAGTTAATTATTTTTTAAAAGGATGCTGGAGCATTTATAAGTCCGAAAGGTATTACCTAGTATTCGTAAAGTCTGTATTTAATATAAAAGGCGGTTTTTTATTTATTACCTTTTTTAATTTAAATAAGGTTATATACTTCTTTAAAATTTAGCAAAGTGAAAATCCTTGCTTTTATAAGCTAGTCCCTAATTTCTAAAATTAAAGGTAGTAGTATAATATCTTTCTTAGTTATTATATTTAGTTATCGGTAGTTTATAATAAGTTGAAGTTTTCTATTTTTTTTAGGTATAAATATAACTAGATATCCTGCTAAGGATTTAAAGGGTTTAATATATCCTTTCTTTAGCTAGTCTTTAATTTATTTATTAAGTATTTTAAGCTTAGTAGTACTTAGGTTATAGATTTTATTAAACGTTAGGACCTTATCATTTATAAGCTTAATTTTATAATTTTATTAGTTATATTCTAGTAGTCTAGTGTTTAATTTTTTATTAAAGATTAGTATATACTAAAGGTCTATTAGTACGTTTTTTAAATATTTTAGTATTTATTAGTTTTAGTAGTATAATTCCTTAACCTTTTATATAATTAAGTTTAAAAATCTAAGCTATTTTTTCTTAAGTTTTTTAATATATTTAATTGTTTTTAGAAGCTTCTTTAGCTTTTTAAATTATATTTATTTTATAACTTTTCTTTTTTCTATATATTTTTGTATTTTTTTATTTAATATAGGGGTTACTAATTCTATCGTTAAGGATATTATAGTATTTTATTAATCCTTCTGATTTAGTTATAGTATATTTTTAAAATTAATTAGTTTAAGGTAAGTTTACTATTTTACCTAGCCTCTAATCTAGTTAATATTAAGGTTACGTAATTTAAGCTAATTATATTTTAAAAGTATATTATATTTAGTAATATTTATAATATTAAATTTAAATATATCTTTAATTTTACTAAATTAGATTATAAGGTAATTAGTCTTATAGTTAATAGTTCTATTGTTATATATGAATTATTATTTCTTAATGTTTGTAAAAGTATATAGTTTCTCCTTCTTATAATAGTTTAACTATAGGCGGTTAATTAATTAAGGCGTAATATAGCTTATTATAGCTTTAGAGTCTATATAGATTATAATTAGTTTATTTAACTATTTATTTATTAAAAATTTCCATAATTCTTTTCCTTCTGTTATAGTATTTAGGTTATAGTAGATTATATTATTAACGCTATTGTAATAATTATTACTATAAAGGTTAATATTAATATTATTTAGGTCTAAGGTAATTTATTTTAGTTTATAATTTTAAATATTATAACGTTTATATTATATATATTTAGGCTAAGGGACGTATCTAGCGGTAAGTTTATAATACTTCCGAAGGTTATTTTAGTTAATTTCTTATAGTTTATTATTATTACTATACTTTATAAGGTTAAATCCTTATTATTCTAGGTTATAGGTAATATATATAAAGGCTTGGTGTTAGTATTAGTACTTCTTGTAATAATCTTTATTATAGAGCGTAAATTTTTTTTATTTATATTCTATAGCTTTATAGTCCTTATACTATTTTTAAAGTTTAAGTATAATATATTACTTATATAGTAATAATTTACAGTTAATAATATTAGCTTTATTATATTAATTTATAAATAGTATATTGTTAATAAAGTAGATAGCTAATTCTAGTATCTTAGTTATTAGGTATTTATTTATATTAGTCTTAATATATTATTAAAACTAATTTCCGGGTACTTAGGTCTTATTATAGGTATTTTAGAGGTTAATCTATTTAATTTAACTTTATTACTTAAGGAGTTTTTTATAATTCTTAAGTTTCTTTTAGTATACGATTTTATTATAGCATTTGTTTTCTTTAAAAATACTTTAAATTCTATATTAATCCTTATATTTTTCCTAGTCCGCTGTAGTTATTTTACAAAAGTAGTAGGGTCCTTTAGGTTCTACTGACCTATATTAGTTATATATACGTTTTTTAAATTTATTAATTTCTTCTTATATTATTACTTTATAAGGGTTATACTATAATAAAGGTACTGTATTTAGAAGATCCTTATTATATTATCATATAGTTTTATCTTATTTCTATTTTTAAAGTACCTCTTCTTTATCTTTAAACTTATTATTCTATTCTTATTTATTAAGGTTTTATTAAATAAGTTATTTAATATAGCTAAAGTCTTCCTAAATAGCTTCCTTAAGTATATTTAAGGTTTATATCTTAGGTTTTTTTAGGAATTATCCTAATTTTTACTTATTACTAAAGTATATTTAGTATTTATTATTATAGTATACTAAGAAGTATAGTATATTATATTCTACTGAGGGTTATATAGTGTTAATAACTTAGTTTCCTTTAGGTTTTAGAATAAGTATAAATTTCTTATTATTATCTTTTTTAAGAGCTTAGTAATATTTCTTTACGTATTTTTTCTTTCTATAATTATAATATTTAACGTTTTTATATTATACCTTAATAATACTAAGGTTTATTAATCCTAGTTATTTATTATTTAAAGAGGTAATATAATTATTTTACTTCTTTCCTTAGTTAGCTTAGGATCCTTAATTTCACTTAAGTTAAATATTATAGAAGTTTTTAGTTTTTTCTTACTTCTGTTTTTTTTATTACTCCTAATTGTAATTATTAATTTTAATAGCTTTTTAAATATAGTTAATAAAGGTTATCTTTTTACAGTTAATTTTAAAGAGTTTATTCTTTACTTTAGGTTTTATACTATTATAGTAAACTTTTTTCTTTATTTCCTTAGTTTAGTTAACTTTAGTTAATAGGCGTAAAAAGGTTAATATATACTTACTTAGTAGTCTTTTTTAGGTAATAAAATAAAGCTTTTATTTAGCTTTTTATTATTTATTTATAATACTAAAAGACTTCTTAAGTTATACCTAAAATTCTATATACTTAGCGTAAATTTCTTTAGTTTATAATTTAAGCTTTTTTATATTAATCCTGCTTTTTTTATAATTTTATATAATAGGTTGGAATTATATTTTAGCGTTTTTAGTAAGGCGGCTTTCTGCAAAAGTAACTTTATTTTTATTATTTTTTAAGGTATATAAGAAATATCTAAAATAGGTTATAAGTTCTAAAAAGAACTTATCTATCTTACGTAGATCTTTATTAAAGGGTTTAGGCTTTATTAGTTTAAGAACCTTGCCTTTCTCTTTTCTACTGCTTTAAAGGTTCTAAAGCTAGGTTTAAAGAGCTTTAAACTTAGCTTTTATTTTATTATAATTAGCTTAAGAGACTATGTTTTTAGTTAGTGTATTTTTAAGCTTAATATTATTATTTAAATAATTACTTAGAGCTTGGCTTTTGTAATTAATATCATTTTTAAGTATATTAAATATTAGTATTTACGTTTTTGCTAAAATCTCTTATTACCCATAGGTCTAAGGTAACCGTCTAAATAAAAGTTGTTATTATATAATAAACTAGGTCCTATAGGCACTATAGGTTAGCTGTTTCTAAGGGATAAACCTTAGAGTAGTTTTATAGTTTATATTAGCAGAGTAATTAAGTTAGTAATAGGTAATTTTATTACTAGCTAGTAATATAAATAAAAGTAGATATTTATATTTTAATTTAATTATATTATAAACGCTGTATTAATAATAACTGGTTATCTAAGTATTTTAATAAGTAATATAAAGTAAACTTATATATTTAGTTAACCTGGATAAGATTAATGTATAGGATATTAATCCTTCCCTGGATTAATAAATAGTTTATTAATCTGCTGTTAGATTAAGAAGTTGTATTTTAATCTTTTCCTAATTAGTTAAAGAATTAAAGTTAATCTAATCCAGACTGACCTATTAGCCTGTTGTTGCGACCTTAAGAGTCGGGTTGTGATAAAATAAAAAGTAGTTAATAAATACTTAAAAATTAAATATTACTTTTATATAATTATTAAGCTAATAATATAAAAAACTAGTAGTTAAACTACTTAGTAATTAAGACTGCTCTCTCTTTTATATTAAAATAGTAAGTTTAAGTATATTATAACCTAATACTTATAATTATAATAACGGGCCTCCTAGGTAAGTAATACTTAGTTTAACTCTAAATAATTTAACTAATAAAATTAAAGTTATTTTAAGTTAATATAACTATATATAATTTAAGTTATTCTTAGTTAATGTAATTATAAATAACCTTACTTAGTATAACTAAATATATAAGTTTTATTTATATACTTATTTAAAATAGTTTAAATAATTAGTTATAAATATAAAATAATACTTAATTATACTTATAAAAGTATTATTTACTAATTATGTAAACTAATCCCTTTATCTTTATTAATTACCTACTAGTCTAGCTTAGCCTATCCGCTAATATAAACCTAGTATAAGGTTTATCTCTTAGGAATCCTTTTTATACTAACCCTATAGGAGCTTAGCTTGTTATAAAGTAGAGAAGATTATTTATATTTAAGTAGTATATTATTTATATTACCCATTATCATAAAGTAAAGCAATCTATAAACTAAGAATATAATATTGCTCGCTTTTTACCTACTGGGCCGAGTTAGATTTTATATAAATATCTCTTATATATTCGTCTATTTATAGACTTATTGCAAAGAGAGCGCTACCTTATTTCGAATCAGAGCCAACCTGGTAGTAAAGCATGGTCAACTTCGCGATTTAATGACGCCCTACTGTACTAAGGGGACCCCGTAATTTACTAAATTTTGTCCGTGCGCGATTAGATACTGCAAAACCTAAGCAGTAATTTACGCGAACCTGACTGGTTGAAAAATAGACACAACACGGCGCATATAGTAGTACCTATCTGAGATAACGGAGGCTCAAAGAATTACTGGCACCATGTATCGAGCAGGATAATTATTGGTCAGCAGGGCACAGCTAGCTAATTTTACAGAGCACTTTGAAAGACATCCTTTTTTTTTTTTGCTATTTTTTCCGGACTTTTTTTTTTCTTGTCATGCGATGCCATGTTTTCTGTCGCAGAAGCTATCTCTAGCCGATGCATTGTAACCAAATTGTCACACAGCTGATATCTATTTAGTTCAGTTTCAGCCCTTCTCAAGCTACCGGTTAAAGGAACGGAGACCGTTCCCTTGCCTTGGCTAGATCGGGTGGTCGCAACGGGCTTAAATGTTCAGTAAGTTTTGCCTCTCACTCTGTGGCTCATTAGAATCTCCGAACTGCTTTTCCTTTCAAAAAGTCCACCAATTAAAGGGACCCGGCTCGCATGGAGGATTGGTCCTTATCAATGTGTTGCATATGCCAACAGCAGTTTCAAATGTTATTGGTCACTCAGCTATGGATGACAATGATCTGAGGCTCCCTACTGGGATAGACAGGCGGAACAGCTGTATTGTTAAGGCGAGGGGCTGGTGATGTTTTTTAATTTTCTGTTGTAAAGCTGAGTGGGCCTCCTGTTGGACCTCGTACCGCCCCTCCACGACTAAAGACAGGATCTCTTTACTCCCTTTCGGTTGAATGGACATTAGAGAAGCGAGATAAAAAGCTTACATCAGCAATGTTTACATCTGTAAGCAGCTAGAAGGAGAATGTCTTACTTCATTGGAGAGAAAGGGGCTCAAATCCGAATATGGAGGCGAGCTTTAATTCCTTAAGTTTGTTTGTTTGTTTTATTATTAACGACCATAAGTATCTAGTTAACTAGATACACAAATCCTCATCTGGGCAATAGGTCGGTAGGAGCCAGTTTCCGTCTTAATCACCTCCACGTGGTCTTGTTCCTTCGAGACCGGCCTAGCTAGACAGCAAGCTTATCAACCAATAGCCGGAGGTGTTAACCCCTGTTCGCTACGTTTCAGTGTGATAAAGGAAAGATACAGAATTTTTATACTAGCAAGCCAGTATAAGGGAAAAAACCCCTCTCTACAAGGGGAAAAACCTAGTGTGTTGTCGTAGGCTAGCTAGCTAGTAAGCCTATAGCTGCTGCGGGACCTAGAGGTCTTCAGCGTTGTGTCTTTACAACCCGGGGGGCTTGCTTATCGGTTGGTTGTGTCTTGGGGGAAAATTAGCTGGAAAGGGTGCCCCGGCCGGACTCGAACCGACTGCCTTATACGATGAGCGCGCATAGAGCCTGCTAATTCCTTAAGATTCATAGACCTAGTATTTTTAAAGATATTGATTGCGAGGGAGGTCATAGTATTATGCGAGCGTTGATGGAGGCTGATGAGAAGAACGATATTATAGGTAGAGTAATAGAAAATTTAGTCATAAAATAGTTGCAATTGGACGACAGCTATAATTGAGAAAAAGCTTAGCAGAAAGTAAGAATAGGTTTTCAAAATCTTATCGTGTTGAGTTTCAGACATACCAGGTAATAGAGCAGCATGACGGGTAATTGCTATTTGTCCTGTTAAATACATCATACCGAACCTGCATTGAAAGCAAAAAGAACATAAATCGCAGATATCTCTCGCATTTGCGTCACAGACTAGGGAAACCACAAGGGGGCAAAACCTAATCCAGAGATTGTTCCAACCAAATCTGCTTACACGCTTTTAGCCACATGAAGAGCCTCACGGTACCTCTGGCACCGGTGCTCGAGCTCCACCCTTGCGGCTGAAGTTGTGTAGCTTTCTGCAGCCATCTCCGCTAGCTGTAGATCAGATAGACCTCCAATGTGTTCCGATGAAAAGAATTTGAGCGCTCCTTGGTCGCCCATTAATCTCTCGACCACCGAGACCACCACGTAATCTCCGAACCTTTTGATAGCCACCTTGTAGTAAGCTTTCAACACATCGTGAATGTCATTGACGGCTTGGTCCTCGTTACTCAGATGTATGGCGCTAGTAAGCTTTCCTAGATCGATAGTTTGGCATTGGCCATCTTGAAGGCCAAGAGCTTGCACACGAGCAATGACGCGCTCTTGGCGGATTTTTTCAAGTGTTTCGGCGAAATAATGGTTCACAGTCTGTAAGATTCCGCCTCGCTCGTCATGTAATAGATCTATGAGCTGACCCCTGGCTGAGACTTTTGTGGACTCAATGCGGGAAAGTATTAAGGATTCTAGAGAGGCGCGAATTGTTTTGTCTTCCTCAGTTCGACAAGACTCTAGTTGAGAATACTCCGTCACGAGCTGAAATACTTGTTCGAGATAATCGCCAGCTATTTGTTCCCATTGAACAGTTTGTTGTCGGAACAAATTGATTAGAAGTGTCGGATTGACCGTGCCAGGCAATTCTGCCCCGCGAGCGTCTCTGTATCTTTCGTGAATCCATCCCATAATGTCTTGAACACCTGGTTCAACATCCTGGTCAAGGTAATCCGTATCGACTGATCCATCGGGCTGCTGGAAGGGGAACGTGTGTCCTTTCGACCGAAGATCTTTCTCGAATTGATCTGCCAAATCACGAAGATGCATCCGTAGCTTTAATTGGCTCTTCGTATCGAGATCTGCAGCATAGTTCCCCCTGAGAGAATCTTCCACATTGCGTTGGTACCGATTCGCCAGACGCGTCAAGTACTGTCGCTGCTCCGCCGCAGTTTGGCGAGAGGCTCCAAGCGCTTCCACTTTCCGCTGCGTCTCTCTATAGAGATCTTCGATTTCCTTGACAAGGGCAGGGAATTCACGACGAATGTGTTCATATAACAATTGGCCGAGGAAAGGCTTTAAAGCCTTCACACCTACTCGATCTTTTGGCAGCGCATTCCAAGGAACTTGCTGAAAGAATCGTCTTTCGTTTTCATGACGTTCAAGGATTGTCACACCTTCTTGTATCTCTTTAGTCGACCTGTTCCGTACAACAAACCACCCATGTTGAAGATGCTCTACATTATTCTGTGCGATGTTGAGGACCTAAACCTGTAAGTTTCAGCTCACAAGACGCCTTCAACGATACGTACCCCATTTTCATCTCCAGATTGCAGTGCATCGCACTTGGTGATGATGCCAACGGTACGAATACCTGCGGGATCGGCTGCGCGAGCCATCTTGAAGACCTCTTGATTTGCCAAATTGTTTCGTGCATCCATTACTGCCCTGAAAGATAGTTAGTAGAATCCTGGCCTTCCCTTCGAAATTCTCACAGAATGATTGTCCTCGCATCTGTTGTGTAGGTCTCGATGAGTCTTCGAATAACAGACAAATCTTCGCGAGTCTGATACTTAGTAGGATCTACAGAGTCAACATGATTGAAGATCTATTTAAAAGAGCGATCTTACTGTGAAAAAGCCCCGGCACATCGACCACGCTCAAATGATGTTGATCCGGCCCGGAGATTTCGATACGCAGAATGTCGTCAGAGAAGCGCTTCGTTAGGTTCTCAATATCTTGGCCATCGGAATTGGGCAATCCCATGTATTCAGCGGCCTATTTAGCATTAGTAATGTATCCTGAGGAGCTTGAAGCAGCACATACCTCGTCTAAAACCCAAGCAAATTTAGATCCACTAAGCTCATCAGCATCCATCTGCATATCAAACTCCAGCAATCGCCTCTTTTGAGCTTCATCATCCAGACTGGAGGGGCCAGGCACAATGGAAGCTTTGACCAAAGCTTTTCCCCCTGGCGTACGATGCAGTACAATTTGCGTTGCAAAACGCGTACAGAGGTCTGAGGCAATAGGGAACGAGAGACCCGTGAGACCTTCAAGGAGTGATGACTTCCCACTAGATTGATCCCCAACCACAACAATCTAGAATGTTTTGTTAAAAGGGCTTTTGAGTAAGACTAAGGCGAAAGCTTACCTGTGGAAGCGGCAGATCCTCATTGATCCCAAAACCGCGAAGTTGATCGATCACGCGGAAGTATCGAAGGCGTTCTGGGTTATCCATTTCCTGTATATCTCGTACTGCCGTCATTTTCTTAGCTGTTTTTCTGGTGTTATACGGTTGCTGTGCGATATTTGTCCAAGATTTTTTCAGAACAGGAATGACAGAATAGAGATTCAGGGCGTCGAAACTTATATATTCCAATGTTGCCTGTTCCAATAACTCCTTCTTGCCTCTTCCGCACACATTTGCTTGCCTCTTCCGTACACATTTGCTTGCCGCTTGCGGACGCATCTCTCATGAATTAAAGAGAAATAACGCAAAAATTTGTTCGTGGGAGGATGATGAATATTTGTTCCGCAAAAGGCCGATAACAGTTGCTTCGTATCCGATCAACCCGCCTCAACCATCAAGAGGCGGGTAGAGTACAGCAGTATACTCAGAGATGGAAGTAAATCATCCTCCCCGCCTCGCGGAAACCAAAGCATCTCAATACTGCTTCGCGCTTGGCGGCACTCAGAGTTACGAAACCACGCCAGTCGACTAACGCATCGCTGCTTGTGATGTAGAATCTCACTATACATAGACCCTCAAGCCCAGACCATCAGAGAAGCGTCAGCAGACATCTTCAAGCGTAACAAGTCCAGCCAGCAAAGTCGTTTATGCTAACCCTCAGGATGGTCACGGAAAGCCTGGCGAAAAAATTAACTAACGGGTGAGTGAAATTTTGCTTACACGTCATTCCCGACTGCTTGCGGTGAAGTTGCATTCCACAGCATCATTAAGGTTGACTAATCCGCAACCGCCCTCTCCCTTATCTGCCCCACGGTAAGCCCAAATTTCGGTCTTCCATCTCGCGTTGGCAGCCAAATTCCTGGATACCGTTTAGATGCGCTCACCGACGCCTGCTTTGAGGTGGCATTTCTGCAATGATTTCGTAGCGTGCCGATATTGGCCTCGAACGAATCCGGTCACCTAAACTTTCAAGGAACATTTAGAGTTCCGATTTATCCAATCCGAGAGCCGATACGGCATCGCTAAGATGGACTAGACACTCTTCAGCGGGGAATGCCACACATGAAAGTTTCAATGAACAGAACAGTTGCGAGAATATAATTAACAAACAACGTCCTCGCGGACTTGCTAACCCACTGTGGCATACGATGGAACCTCACACGAAACATCAACAGTACTGACGTCCTCTTCAAGCGCTGGTGGTGCATTAAATTGAGGCGAGCAGTCAACCTCCAAATACAGCACGAGTTCGTTTTGTTGCGTTATGTTACATATCAAAAAACTAACTGCTTCCTCATACATGCTATATCATTCTAGAGTTCGCTTTTTTCACCTCATTCAGGACGAAGACTAAGCTCGTTTCCCCAATAGCTAGTCGAATTCCTTCCAGGTCTCTATGTCTATTCATCCTCGTGCGAAGGACTTAAAACAGCGCGCTGAACTGTTATCGCGGGTTTGGCGGTCTAAGAAGTTCTGCATCCCACATTGACTCTGTGTAAATTTAAATTCAAATTCTGAATGTCGGGCTAATTGGTACGCCTTCATACTACGCCGCAGATCCGTTTTGTAATTGCCAGCGTCTTCAGGCCGGATTCGGTTACCGGCAAACCTTAAGTGCAGGTACACTCTAGATCCTTACAGAAAGCAATATAGACAAGCATTTCGTCGAGCTAGTCTTGCATCTTGCTTGCTTGGAGAGGACGTTTTTCGCTTCCCAAGCACTCACATATAAGCATCATCTGACATACAATATACACTGGTGGAAATCTCGGAAGTTCGCAGCTATACGCCCAATCTGTAATGATACCTATGTCTACAGATGTAAATTCGCAGCGGCCAAGACAGAAGTATCTAGCTCTCAGGTCCCCTATGGAGAGCGCTTATCGCGCTCAAAAGAAAAATGCTATCGATGCGTTGCTCCCCTGCGATTCCTCGCGAAAGACGAAGCTCAAAACACAGCGTCTGGACCACTTGTCTTGCAATGAAGCATATTACGAGGTCGACAAGTCAAAAATTCGTTTCATTCCCAGCATCCGATTGGTGGGACAAGCGGCAAGACAGCCGCCAAGGGCAACTGACCAGGATTTCAGATCTATATGTAGGAGCGATTCCATCCGGATTGAGTATCGAGGCCAAGTACCTTCTCTCATACTGACACCTCGACTTCATCAAGTCATCCAAAACAAGGCATTTGCCGCCATGCGCCGTTATGGAGGGTTTCCCGATGTCTATGCAAAAAGCGGCTGGGGGCACAATCAAGTCGAAAAAGATTTCGTCATTTCCGGAAAGCACTGGACGACTGAGGTCATGAATCTTTGTCAAAAAATTAAATTTTCTCTTAGGCCTAACCTGGACTATGATCAAGGCGTTTCCGGGCAGTATAATGCATCCCATGTAGAAAAGCAGCTGATTGCGTATTTCATATACAAGCATTTGTCCCTTCCGAACCAGGTGAACAACGCAAAAGGATCAGAATCAAATTCAGAATCAGAAGATAAGCTTGCGAGACTGCTTGGAAATTTAACTTTGGCAGGAAAGAACGAGCAGGCTGCCAAAGCCAAGTTTATAGAGCTGTGGAAATCTCGCCCCCAACAACCCTTGAACCGGGCCCTCATATTGGTATCGCGGCCCGTGTGCAGCGACTGTGAGCGATTTTTAAAGCACGTAAAAATTCATATGGGTCTGCAAATCGAAATTCGGAGTGTTCAAGTACTATGTTCGTCGACTCGACTGGAAAACAAAGTATAACCGCAATATCAGCACGCGATATTGCCGTACGCAAATCGAAAGGCCTTTAGATCTAGGGAGCTGGAATTAGAGACAAGAGTATAGAATGGCTTGACTTGGACATAGTATCAACGCATGCACCAGTGATGACCCTATAATTATAAATTTCATATATAATAATTGCATATATGAATAGATGGCTGCTTTTCAGACTCTTAGGTACCATGCTGACGCCCCTTTCCAGCTTTAATATTAGCCTTGCACTTGACTCTTAGCAAAATTTTATGAAATTTCAATCTCTCTTAAATTCTCGTATTATACACATAGTACTTATAAATATTTGAACAAAACACACAGAGGAAAATCTCATCGTAATTTCTCAGGTTTCATGCCGGGATACACAAGTGATGAAGACTGCTGGTAATACTTCAGATCAATGAAATCCCAGACCGCCCCCCCTTCTTTCCGTGGGACCAATGATTTCCCATCTTCCGAGAGGCACACTTGCATTCGTTCTATTCGTTCAATGCCCATTGTCGTCGTGGATTTCACTAATACGTGTAATATTTGACCACCACTCTCATCCCTATCTACCGTGAGATATTCGTTTATCCAGTGGGAAGCCCGTTTCGCGCAGATTGTGCCGTCGTTGTCGTGACCAAGATACGTGCCAGAGACAGTGTTGCGGAGGCCAAGCCAGCCGAATTTCTTATGACAATGCCAGATGCTGCCGCCGCCAGGAATAGGCTGGAGTAAGCATCTCACGTTTCCATTGCAAACAGTAAGGATGCGGTGTGGCTCTTCCCGAGTTCGAATTAGGAATTTTCTGCCTTCTATAGGTGGATTCTGAAATGCTAGAGTAAGATCAATGGGTCGTAAATCTTGATCATCTTTGAGATTAATCGCAGAGATGGGTTCCGAAATTGTGGAAAGAGTACCCGTGGGTGTGGGGATTTTGCTTGCTGAACTGCTAGTGAAATCATACACCTCTTGCCAAGATTGGTCATCCATTATTTGGTTACATGTATCTTCAAATGAATCTATGGAGCTCTATTTCCGGGGATCACGAGGCTTAAATATTTCTCGATTAAAGCTATACAAATTTTCATGGTGCGTACTAAAATGTAAGTAATTTAGATAGAAGAGAAGCTTTTTCTTGCATTCCAAACAATTAGATATGCTTTCTTTCAGCTGACTCGAAAATGGTAAGTGGAGGATAGAGAGCTATTCCTGTAGTTTACCAAATCTACAGGTACATGGAATTCACAGTAAGGAAACGGTGCAAGCCACGTATGACGAAAGTTCAATAAATTTAGAGGCAGACACTAGCTTCGGTCAGTCCTGTACAGCATGAAACAGTAACAGTAACTCAACCGCTACCTATTCCGGTCAAATTTTGTATACTCCACTCTTGCTGAAGGCATAGGCGTTGGGTGTGCTATAATTTCGGAATTAAGAGGTATGTGGATGAATGCAGCTATGGTTTCCATCTATCACTCCAGAATCACAAATATGCCCATCAATCAAAGATATTTCTGTTTGAAGCCTTAGGGGAAAAAATCGTTTAAAAATATTCTAAATTACTATATATCTTCTATTATACCCTGGAGCCCCGACTCGTCCAGGGAGGGTTAGGTAACTTATATTTGTGTCTCCGGAGACACATGCGTTTAGCTGTATATAAGCAGTGAGTGCTATTTCTCTCTCCGGAGACAGATACCTCAAATCTATGTAAAATAGCTGTGCTGGTTTCGGTTCCTGGATGCAGATACATTAGCCGTGTGTAAAGTGGTGAGTATTAATATCCTGTCTCCGGAGACAGATGCGTTGGCTGTACGTAAAATGGTGAGTGCCGGCTTCTATTTCAGATACGGATGCATACGCTTGCTCCACTTGGCTCGAGAAGTTAAAAGCAACCCACTTGCCTTTATAATATCTCCAGTACAGAGTGAGCTATACCGCCATAAACTCAAGGACGATATTCATGGACAAAAAGGAACAAGGTTCCTCATCAACTAACACCATAAAGCGGCTATTGACAGGTAATCGCATTAATTACAGTAGGACAAGGCCGCTAAAGAGGTAAAGTAAGAGCGCTGACACAAGCAGAATTAGTGCGGTTCCATAAGCGACAGACCCTCGGGGACGCGTCGTGGGCCATGGAGCTATACTCCGGGAGTCCAAAGCGGAAAGCCGTTATGCCATCTTACGGCCTTAGCTAGGGAACAGTAACATAATTCTTTTTCCATCATCATTACTAGTAGCTTTTACAAAAATCCACCCTAGTCCCACTAAATACTCCATACTCCGCCATTAACAGATATTTCATGCCGCCTATGCCTGCCTTAAAACTGCTCCCAATTTCCTAATGCGTAAATCTAACCATTATGCAGATTCAAGACCTAAGCCATATGGTTAGAGCATTCATGGAAAACATCAAGGGCTGCCAAACCTACCAAGTGCCTGAGCAATCGCAACGCCAACGCCTAGGGCAGAGTTTGGGTTCTGGCCAGTAATGACCCGCCCATCAACGACAACATGCTCCTTCCAAAGCGCATCTGCTTTGACATAGCTGCCGCCCACCCGCTTGATTTCGTCCTCTAACAGAGCAGGCATGGCCTCGGACAGCTTGATAGCATCTTCTTCCGCGTTGCTGAAGCCAGTGGCCCTGCGGCTACTGAGGAGCGGTTTCCCGTCTACGATGGTATTAACGAGAGCGATAGGGCCATGACAGACAGCCGTAATAATCTTGCCGGCATTATAGAATTCCTCGATCAGCTTAATGGAGTCCTTGTCGTTAACGAGGTCGAACATAGGCCCGTGACCACCAGGATAGAAGATGGCATTGAACTCGGATGCCTTTTTGTGAAACTCCCTAAGGGGCGCTGTTTGCTCCCAGAGATTCTTCTTGTTTTGGTGGAACTTGACCGACTTAGGGTCCTTGAAATTCTTCACCGACACCTCGTCTATTGGAGCAAGCCCACCAGCGGGGGAAGCAACGACGATTTCAGCTCTGGGCTTCGCCTCATCCGGACCAATCAAGTGGTAATAAGGCCGGGCAAACTCAGGCTGAGAGCTGACGTGTGAGCGATAGTTTCCAAAGGTCAAGGGGCAGCGGCTAGGAGACTAACCAAGTACCACCCAGTGGGTGCGCCGTTATCCATCTTGGCTCGGCTGGTGAGAACGAAGAGAATTCTAGGAGCAATGTTGAGCGATTGGGAATGGGATGTTAATGCGGTTGATAAAAGTCTGATAGACAAAAGAATGATGGAGGGATATGCCTCAACGAATGCACGGATCGCGCTTGCATTTTATACTTGCCATACTTGCCATACTTGCCATACTTGCCATACTTGCCATACTTGCCATACTTGCCATACTTGCCAGATAGCGGTAGGGCAAGTCTTTGCACGAGATTATCATGAATGCACTGACGTACGTCATAAAGCCAACCGTTCCACAACCATTGCAATTCTTTCGAAATAGTCTGCTCAATAAGCATAGCCCGCTTATGGAATCTCTGAAGACATAATTCCATAGCACTTGGAACTCTATAGCCATAATCAATCATCGCTACCTTTGTCTGCTTTCTAAGCCCATGGTGGGGCAGAGCGCAAACGACGGAAGTTGCCGCACTAGGTGACAGGACTATACCGCGGGGTCCCGACTTGCCAAGGCAGGCTTAGGTAAGCGATATGTCCGGCACCAGAGATAGAAACATGTTGGAGACAGATTCATTAGCTACCTGTAAAAAAAAGAGCAAGTGCTGTTTTTTTCATACTAAAAACTTAGAGAGAGACAATATATTAGGTCGGATTAACAATGGGGTGAAAACAAGGATTGGACCAGAATGGCTGCTAAACTAGATCAAGCATTAGGTTTGGGATAACTATAGAGCTAGAATTCTTTTGTTTTTGTCCAAATAAAGTTGGTAAAAAGCAAGGCTTGAGAACTTATGGGGCCTGGACTTGGATTCAGATAGAATAACACGAGAAACCGTAGTGAAGCAAGAGACCAGATTGTAAGAGCAGAAACTGGAGGATAAGGGGTCCTGGGCTTTAATGAGACGAAAGATAAGATTCAGAATATACACGTGTATTAGGTTCATAGTTGCCGTTTTGGACTTTCCACCCGGGCGTAATGAATGAATGAATGTACTAATATACAAATGAATTTTTTTTTTCGAAGTACTATAGCCCAACGCCAATAATAATAGATTTTGTAATATTACCAAGTAATACAGTATCTATCCCGTCTCGTTATGTAGCAATCTTCTCATTAACATAGTGTAGGATACCTACTATTGTACTCTTGTTACGACCCGACTCTTATGGTCGCAACAACGGGGCTTACAGGGTAGGCCAAACCGGATTAACGTCGCACCGACATACCAATCAAAAGAGACTCATCAACTCGACCATCGAGTCAATGAGTCGACTCGACAGACTCATCAATGAGTCTCATGAGACAGCATATCCGACTGGATATATAAGTTCATTTCTTTACGCTCATTCAGATAACTTAGATAGCCAGTTGTCAACACAGAATCAAGATTGCAACACGCTCTGCGAACTTACTCTCTGGTGACATTTGTTTACTATTGTACATTGCCCGTAGATCCCCTGATCGCTCCGCCAACATAGACCCAGAACTGAACTCTAGGTTTGTCCCTTGGGAATTCCTCGTATTACTAGCTATCTAGTGTACGGTTCGTCACAACTCTGCAATATCTTATACAAAATTTAGAAAATGTCGCTACCAGCTTAAGAAATCGCGTAGGCCACTGACGTGATAGCTTCCCGCTAAACGACAGAAGCTACTCGATGCATGGCGAGAGCAGCGCTGTCGCGATGCCAATTACCTATCTACTGTTCCGCTTGTATCCACGACGTGCTTGTAAGGCTGATTCTTTGATTGGCTGATCAGCTCCCCTTGGATGCATAGTGTAAGAAGTCAGCTTAACAGCCAATCATATCTAAGCGCTGATATGCCTAGCTGCGGGGTAACGATCTGTCTGGTGAACACTCTGCATAGAGTCATCTAGCAGGCTGGACTTTCCTCAAAATGCATCCAAGAGCTCATTAATGCTTACAAAACTCCTGATTTATATTTTCAAATATGCTACCTCCTGCTCTTACCAGCACATACAAACTGTACAAACAAGACACAGATTATGTAGCGACTTGGTTAGCACAGACAGCTAAGGCATATGGCTATCCTAATGCGTTATTAGAGATTGTCGACATGGCGAAGCCTAGCTCAAAGCGTCTGAAGGGAAAAGCAAGGAAAGAGGCAAAAACCAGAGGCGCTAGCCGGCCTATGCAAACACAAAAGATCCAAACGTACATCTTGGCCACCAAGGATTTTGTCCCACTCGCTGCTTTCATTGCAAGTCGAGCGGATCCCGTGATTCACGTCCCTGATCTCATTATGAGCATGCTTAATCGGATTATAGAAGCGAGAATTCATTATGGCCAGCAATTGAACGATTATGGTGGCCAAACTACTACTACCTAGGAAAATGTGAAACATTAACACTTTATTAAAGTTTTAGAAGAGGTGCGAGATACGCTGAAGCCTTGTATACGCTTACCTTAACCGAACCCTGCAGCTACAGAGGTCCCAGGAAAAGAGCTGAATGGAGTAGAGTCAAGCTTCAACGCTCTTGCAGTAAGCGGGACTTCTCCAAGTCTTTTAGATGCTCTCGGTATCCAAAGCCGCCAAATCCTGGTAGGTGACGGGGCGGTGTACGAGGCAGAACCACAGACGTCCTTCGAAGACGCTATCGTTGCCTATACAATGATGATGAACGATATACAAGATATTAGATCACGCATTCGATGGATATGGGAGAACTATAAGAAAGGCCTATTCACCCTTTCCGGAGCGGCTGTGGCTACCGATACTGCCATCGACCTTGCACGCAGCGCCACAGAGGAAGTTACCCCACTGTTTAAAGATAATAATGGGATTCCAGGGATGATTTAAGGCTTCTTTCACTACCGCTGCTTCCTTAAGGGATACGAGGAAAATGAGATATATCTATTGGAAGAGGATAATTTTAACTACGATCTGTATGAAATAGCCGATGAGGTTTATATGAACGTCTTTAGGATTCTGCATAGTTTCGCTGGAACTCTTGTTTAATCAGATGTCCCCATCTACAAAGATGGGACGTTCGGTAACTACGACCCAGCTAGCAACAGGGATCTTAAATCTGGGAGACAGAAATTCACCGAAGATAAAATTCTATTACTGGAATTCTTCACCGAGCTCATCACGGTCGCTCGGCGCATCCCTGACTACCCAGCGAAGGATGGTTTTCTGTGTGGTATGGTTGAATTGAGTAAGACAGGGCGGTTACCTTTCTATCTCATCTTTGCCGCTTAGGTCTTCTTAGATATCCATCATATCCTTCGCGATCAAGCGGCTTTCGCTTCTGAGCAGGTACTGCGTCAGGTCGCAAGAATGAACAGCGAGCTTGAGGAACACCTGAAATTCCATACTAATCTTAATATTGGTGGATGGTCTGCATCTAACGATATAATCATTCGAGAGCTGCAGAGAAATATGAGGTGGATTAATAGCGATCCTGTTTATAAAGCGAAAATCAAACTCCTTCGGCAGGCTAGACGTCCTATTTTGTTATGTACGAAGCAACATTATATCCTCAGACGCTCACCTGTGCTTTTAGGTCTGATACTCTTTCACTTCCAGGTTCGATTTCACAATGTGGGGATCTCTGTCACAGATGCCTGGGGGTCTACTATCTACACCGCCCACCTATACAACGCACTGCGCAATGAGAAACTTCTAAAGAGACGATGGAATGGCATGGACGTGGCCTAAATTCTGTTACGTGAGGAAAGCTTCTACGTAGGAGGATGGCCACGGAATAAAGAAGGGTACTTATAGGAATTCTGTCTCCGGCTGGGAATGGACGAAGCTTCATTTAAGAAGCTAATTCAAGGCTAACGGAGATCTAATGGTTTTGGATCGGGTTCGGAGGCTTGAAAGATAAAGGATCGCATTCCGGTATTTTTAAAGTTTAAAAGCAGATATGCTGGGGAAGCAGAACGTGTGGACTGGACAACCGAGCAGATAGACGCTATTTGCTCTTTAAGCGAGTATCAGCAGGTGGGGTCAGAAGAGGAAGATATTCTTCAATTCCATTTAATCCCGGATGCTGAAGAACTTAGACGTAAGCACGAGCAGTATCGGCGGAAACCTATTAGTGCTGATTCCCTGCGGCCGGAGAGCTTGGTCAGGGAGCTTATGTTCAGCCTGCAAAACGAATATCTTGAACTTTAGTTTTCCTACTTGCTGTTACATCGCTTATGCTGGCAGCTACTGAGGCAGGTTAAAGAGCATTGCGATGCTCTGCTGTGCGAGAGATATGGGTTAAAATACATAGAGTGTGAAAACCAGCTGCCCCTTTTAGTTGGATATATACTTGCAGCTGCTGTTGGTATGGATTATGAGCTGATGCAAGCTGCAGCGGATGGTATGAATGAGATGAATGGTTTTTCTGATGCAGTCGACTAACAGCTTGGGCTTGGGTTTGACTCGGATATGATTTCGAACTCGGGAGGATTTATGATTGCTGAAGACGGAACTGTTGGTCGCAGCTCGACAAGTGCCCATGCCGAGACAAATGTCGCTATATGGTCGCCAGCCCACCCAACAGCTTTCGACAAAGCTCGTAAAGCTACTATTTTTACTCGCCTGGGAACTATGCACTCGCACCAAGAGGTTAAAGCGGCACTGGAGGCAACTAAAGGTGTTGACCAGATGTTTTGCCTATCGGTCAACAACGTTATTCTCGTCTTCTCTGCCTCTCAGGATGAGCACACTATGCACTGTCACAAGGTTCTCTAAATGCTAGAAGGCCGTTCGATGCGTATAAATGTTAATGACTGTGTTTTCGATTCTGAAAACAGCATTGACGCAGGCATTTAATTGAAGTAAGTCAGACATCACAAGGTCTACATGGTTATAAACAAGGGCGTGCAAGGGCGTTTGTAAAATCAGTCTAGTTAGTTTACTTTACAATCTGTCTATTATTCCCAGTTGACTTCTATACTTAAATAATAGTTTATTATATGATGGGCGATTTGGATTCCATTTAGCCAGCGGTACCTCTCTAATTACTTAGCGGAAGAGAACTGGTCAGATTAGCATTGTAATATAAGCGCCTTGATTACGAGCGAGATAGTAGAGGCTTCTCTGGCATGACTATCGCAGACTCATCTAGGATACATAGGCTCTGCTCTTTATTCAATGCATTATCATTAGATATATCCAGATCACTTATACTATAAGTAATTTTTGCGGCTGCGTCTTAATATACGAATAGATGATATCAATTTATGGAGCGTGTCTTGGTCAAATTCGACCCACTGCTATACATCGTGATCCAAAACCAGTCCTTACTGCAAGGAACACTTCGTAGAAAATATGATAGCTACTTCTGGCGACCTGAGGCAGATGTCTCAGAGGCCTTGGCACCCCCCCCCCCAGAGAGCTGAGTGTGGCTTATACCTCTAGCACGGGTATCTGAGGATGGGTGTTATATCGTCTTTGTGCTTTGAGGCCCAACGACTTCCTCTCAATTCACGCAATTGCTTTCCCGTCTAATGGTTTTGACTAGAAGTAGTTGGACGGGTGCGCGGCGTTGCGAGCCCTGTAGCGCCTCCGCGATTACTAATTGCGACCCCGAAAGTTCACCATTGGTAAATGAAGAGCTTATGCAGGATTCGAACCCACTCCCCTGGAAGGCCGCCCCACGGATCTAGCCGTTTAATTAAAAAGCTGATAGGAATTTACGTAAGGTTTATTATTAAGGGCTAGTCTGAGTCAGGGGGCGTTGAGACTTTAAGCTTCTCTTATCATGAGTCTGACCGTTTTTGGGGCATCTCGGCCTCCTAGCTTTGTAGTACAACTCTCTACAACATCAGTTCCTTCATTAGAATATAATCCTGAAGTCAACGACTCCATCAATAACTTGCCGACAGCAACTTGGCACGGCCGCCGCTTTATTCTCGAAGACCTCATCTTAAAGAAGGCCTTTAAGGGGCCGTAAAAGTTGGATTAAAAGCGAAGGACTGTTTGTAGGTGAAGTATTGGATTCAAAATTCGCTCGGCGAGGTCTTCTAGGTCTGCCGCCGCTGTGACGAAACTGGTGATAGTATCAAGCCGTTCAAAGCATCTGCAACTTCCTCGGCAACAGATCATCTTCGACGACGGCATCGAGTCATAGAATAAGTTGGCCCACAATCCTCTGCAAGTTCCGAATCCGACGATCCTCCTCCTTTAAAGCGGACACGAACTATATTTACATCTGCGCAGGCACCACAAGAGCTTGCAGTTGGATTTATTATTGAAAAGAACGTGCCGTTCACGATCTTTGAGAGTAAATTCCTTCGCCGTCTTCTACAACAGCTTAATTTCGATTTATTCGATAACCTCTCCCTCGGTCGAACAAGTTTACATAATAATCTCGATCGAATATATAATATTAAGAGGGAAGAGGTCATAAAAGAGCTTCAAAAACAAAGATACACATTAGCTTTGACCTTTGGACCTCCCCGAATCGATTATCTATTATTGCTGTCACTGGCCACTATATTAATTCATATGGGAAACGGCAGCAACGCCTATTATCTCTTCGGGAGCACTATGGCTCTCATCCTGGAAGAAATATAGCTTCCTCGATTTTATCTGTTATTCAAAAGTGGGATATTCAACATCAGCTCGGCACTATTTTTGGCGATAATGCCTTGAACAATGATACTTGCGTACAGCATTTATTTTCGCGCATTAACCCCTTAATCTCGGCATCTGATGCCATTGACCGGCGGATGAGATGCTATGGGTACATCTTGAACCTCGTTGGCCGGGCTTTCTTGTATGGAGAGGATAATGAAGCTTTTGAGCAATAGTCGCAGCTTTTTGACCTTACAGGCCGCCTCGATGATGAACTCAAGCATTGGAGGAAGAAGGGCGCTGTTGGCAAGCTTCGGAATATCGTCAAGTTCATCAGAAGCTCAACTCAACGAAGTGAACGGTTTAAATACACCGCCATTGCATTAGGTCTTGAAGATCGAAAGCTTGGAGTTATTATGAACAATGATACGAGGTGGACTTTAACATATATAACGATTAGCCGCGCCCTTGATAAGCAAACGCACATCCGGGCCTTCCTTATTGAGAATCAACTTGAAGAGAATAGCCAAATTCTTCTGCAACAAGAAGATATCCTATCATCAGAGGATCGGCGGCTTCTTGTTGAAATTCATAAGATACTTCAACCTCTTTACTTATAAACAATGCGGTGCCAAGGACTAGGCAACTTTGGGAGGTTATGACTGAAATTGAGTATCTGCTTAATGATCTTGAAGGTTGGAAGGCATTTTTTACATTCCCTATAACGAGCAGATTCAGCAATCACAGAGTCAACTGCAATCAGCATTGTCACAACGGCTGAGGCGAGGCCGAAAGGCCGTTCAAATTCCATCGTCAAATGGTCTTCCTATGCATATACAAGATGAATATCTACCTTCAAGTCAACAGCGCCGACTAGCGAGCCTATAAGACGAGTTACAGGCATACCTACGAGTATCAATTACAAATGCTTGGAAGAAGCTCAATGAATATTATATTAAGGGATTGTATATCCGGTATCCCTCTATGAGTAAACTGTATCTGTTTTTTATGAAATAAGCGGGACACGTGGCTGATGGTCTAAAATCCCTGTTGGTTCCACGGTGTCGGCATTTCTAGCGTTTTACTAAAGAAATCACTTATTAAAAAGACGTACAAAAATAGTAGAGGACTAAAATTGATGTTAAATTGAAGCTATTCACACCACAACTACGACTATTATAACAACGCTGCAGCTATCATGGAATCACTTTACGAGCGCAATTGCTTTTTTTTTTACGCCTTGATCCTTCTTTGAACCTAACGATATGCCGGGGACCTCAGCCGTTCGTGGAACCCACTTTGTAGTTCATATGTGCTGCACGGAGTATGCAAGGCGTTAATGAAGATTTGGTCATTGTTATTATCCTTTAGGCAAACGCCAGCAATACATGTAGCAGGTCATCAGGATCCTTGCTTTCCCTTTTCTTCTGTTGGTTCTTCTGCGCCGGCCAAACCTTCTGAGGTGCCGGTGCAGTAGCGTCCTATGGCTTGTAGACACATGGTGCAACAGACGCAAAAACAACCTCAATTGCAAAATGAAAAAAATAACAGAAAGCGGAAGCGCGAGCCGCATGTGCGTGGATATGACACACCGTCCAGATATAATATGACGAGTATAACGTATGGTGGAAATCCGCCTGGTCACATCATTAGCTGGCACTGATCAGCATGCAGGAATGTCTTTCGTGTCACGGCCCAACACTTATGGTCGCGACAACGGGCCTCCCGGGTAGGCAACACCCGGTTCAACTCCGGACGATCTAACCAATAGGATCAAAGTCGTTCCGAGTCGACACGACCACACACGATTCAAGTCGTCCCCGGTCGACGCGATCACGAACGACCTCACCCAGCACGACTGGATATATAAGTTTCATTCGTACACTCGTTTAGAATAGTTTAAATAGCCAGTTGTGAATATAGAATAACGCTTGATTATACCTACAAAGTATCATCTACTAGTTGTGTGAATAAACCCCTTTTATCCTTGTTGATTGCCCGCCAGTCCAGCCTGGCCTATCCGCCAACATAAACCTAGTACAAGGTTTGTCCCTTGGGAATTCCTCTTATACTAACACTATAGGAGCTCAGCTTGTCACACGCATCTAGCCATTTCTCGTCATCTTGCAGAGCCTTATTGCGAGCAAACTCTTGAGTTGCAACATCTGCATTCCTACTCTTTCTCGCAATTTTTTCTGATTCCTCTTGGACTGCCTTAGCCGCGGCCAGGGTATTGACTTTGAACTTGTAAGAAGCGTAGTCCGTCTCCATTTCTGGAGTCCAGTTTGACCGTCTTTGTGTATCGTTGGGGTCACGCTTCTTCAATTCATGCGACTGAATCTTGCGTTCCTTTAGTATTCTTCGATTATTCTCAGTGATTCTTATTTCATTTAGTATTTCCTTGAATGGGCCGTCGACCTCCTTAAGCGTCTCAAGGTAGGAGTCATCAGATAGTACAGAGGAGTACGAATCGGCTGACCCGCGACGAGACATCATGAGTAAAGATACTTGGACAAAATATTGCGGGTGAAGTGGAAGACGCGGTTGCTGTGTTGGGCAGCGGACAATTCCCTGCGACACTTGTGAGGCTAGGGAACAAAGATGAGAGGTAACGAGAGAATGTTGATAGTCGGGATGACTTTGATGCGTCAAGGCGGTTGAGCAATCAAGGTAATGGCACTTGGCATGGCATAGAATATATATTACTGTCTCTACGGTATTTATGCATACAAACTTGTTGTTGGAAGATGTAGTCCTCCGTGCCACTCCAGACTGTAACTCCTACCGCTGTGTAGTGACTTGATAGGCTTGAACATGGTCAATACAAGTTTCGAATGACGCTCTACATACAGAAACAAGGGCATCGTGCAGGGGAAGGAAGGGAAAAGCGCCCGGGGCCGTAGACAGCCAAGGTGGTCGCAGCTCAGGCCTGCTCTATCTTATGTGGCCCGGCGCTTACGCCATGGGAGATTCTATGGATGCTTCTGACAACGCTGTTTACGCGCCCGGCGCATCGAGAGTCCACTTAAGCTGTGTGGGTGGGTGGCTGGACGGCGGCTAATAACACTCTGTGGCTTAGTTGGCACTCTGGCGGGCCACAGGCCCACGTTGCGGCCCAGGTCCTGCTAAAAATGAACGATTGGCGGCTGAGTCATGTTAACGTTCTCCTCATCGCACCTCAGGCCACACAAAGTAGCAAAGACTTGTCCCCAAGGTTCGTGTGTACACTGACATCTTCATTATCCATATTTTTTTTATCGTTATTGAAGAGTCAGTCCACAAGCAACTTCGCATTGCCAAACGCAACACACCAGTTGAAAGCTTCGACGTGACGAGTCTTACCAACGACAACTGCGAGGACAGCGTAATCCCCAGCGCGACTATGAGCGGAGCCTATTCCAATGACTCTGACTTGAAGCACATATCCGATGAGCCAATTGAAGAGAGCCAGGAATGCTTCAAGGCTGATGTCACTCCAAATCTAGAGAATCTACCAGCCGAGCTGAGAACTCAACTCCTCCTGAGCATGCCAGATCTGCCAACCCTGCGCGCGCTCATCCATGCTTCTCCCACAATGCACACCCAGTATAGATACGACCGCGATCATGTGCTCTGGACTTGTCTAGAGCGCGAACTTAGTGGCTTCCTCATCGACGCCTACGCCAATATGATGTCTCGGGTGTGCGAGCTAGGATCCCCACGCACTGACGAGAAGATCACTAGTTTTCTTGACACCTACCGGGGCTGGCTCTCAGGCGCAAGTCCGCTCCCGGATCTCCAGTCACTCGACTCTGGTTACATACATTGGATGGCGGCGTACCACATATCCGTTGCTTGTCCTTTAGCTCGAATGTATAGCAGTTGGGCTCTCGACAACATCAAAAAAACAATTTCATCGTCAGTCGCCCGAAATGGAACAGAAACGCTACCAATCGCACAAGATAGTAGGGGCGTCAACTTGAGCAGAAGCGAGGAAATCCGCATTTTCCGGGCTCTCTATCGGTATGAGACCTACCATCACCTCTTTGGCAGGAACAAGGGCAGGCGCCACGGCGGATTCCGCCATCATGAAATCAATGAGATTTTCTTTTCTCAGTTCGCACCATGGGAGGCTGAGGCAGTCGGTTGCGTCGATATATTTATCAGACAGAAGTATAAAGACATTTTCAGTGACGTGAAGGAAGACCTGCATCCTCAGAATGCGAGATTCCGTCTCGAGAATGGAACCTTCAACCCTGAAGGATCTTTTAATCTTGACGGGGAGTATGATGGTAAGCAAGAGTTTTGGCCTGCAATTCCGATAAATATACAAAGTGCTATGCTATAATCAATATTAAAGTGCTAAGCTGCCTGTCTACAGATTACATGGACGGCACCGTATCACGCGGCCTAAAGATGGCAGTGCGACTTCTAAACATCGAGGATCACGAAAAGCTTGTCTCCAAGATGCAGCGGTGCCTTACACACGACCAAAATTTGGATGCACCAGTGAGAACAGCTATCGGGTTAGCAGCGCAAAGTGACAGGCGCGAGATGTCAACCAGCTTCCCTGACAAAAGAGACGAAGCTGAGCAAAGGCAGGACCCGATCCGATTTACAGGCGACACGGTACCCCCTAACGGCCCGCCCTTAGCTTGGGTTCTCCTATGGGGTGGAAAGTATGCAAATATCTACGGAGAATATGTGCCAGAGTCGCTCAGGCGATGGGGCTACGTTATATGGGACAAAATTCGCTGGGATAGCATGGAGGCAAAAGAGCTTATTGCGAGACAATGGGAGATGGAACCAGAGCTGGTTGAGGAGATTAAGATAGACATCGGTTGGAGTCCTCTGGAAAGCGGAAGTGTAACTATAGAGCATAAGTAATACCTGAGTACTGCGATAGGATATTAAAAATAATATATACAGTGCTATAAATTATTTCACAGTTAGTATTATAGACCTAGGGGCGGCTTATCAAGTATCCCTCCTGGCTTCCTGATGTCACGACCCAGCCTTTGTGGTCTTGACAATGGGCCTACAGGGCAGGCAGACGTTGGATCAACCCCGGAAGACCCGACCAATCAGGAAGAAGTCGTGTACAGTCGACACGACTTTCAACGACCCAAGTCGCTCAAGGTCGACGCGATCCAAAGCGACTACACCGGATATGTAAGTTTGCTTCTCTACGCTCATTTAGAATACTTAGATAGCCAGTTGTTATCTAAAACACAATACAATAGCCAAGATTGAACTACGATATCTCTCTTACATACTAGTGACAAGATTGCCCGACTACCGACCTAACCATCCGCCAACATAAACTCAGTACTGCCGGTTTATGCATTGGAAATAGATAACCTACGATTACTATAGGAACCCGGTTCGTCACATTAATAAGTATAACTACAAAAACTTACAGTGATGTTTTAGCTAATGGTTATATTTTACGATAGCGGCCCCTACAGCGCGCCCTGCCTTCTACATGCGCAGCTGCAGTTACTGTACTTAGGGCTGCCGCCCAGTGTTACGACCCAATCCTTTGTAACAGCAATCCCTTATAAGCAGCTAGTTTCATTACAACAGTTGCTATAATTACAATTATTAGCCTGATCTTTTATCCTGTGAGCGCTACAATATAATATAATGAAATATTATAATCATAAAAAACTAGTGGCCTAGGTGTTACAATCCGATCAACTGTAATAGCAATCGGTCCCTTATAAACAGCTAGTTCTGTTCCAGTAACTGCTACAATTGCAATTATTAGCTTAATCTTTTGCCCTGTTGGCGTTACAGTATAACGGAACGTAACAATCTGCTCTAGTAGCGGTCCAGGCCGAGGGTTCGCTTGGTCTCCTCCAAAACCTTCTTGCCAGCCATCGCCAGGCGGAAGTCGTCTCCCTTGAGATACTCGAACCAGCTCATGGAGACATAGTTAGGGTACTCGTGCCTGCTCTGGCCAACAAGCTGCGAGAGCCACCACTCCTTGTATGTGGCATTGGCCCCAGTCTCGCCAATAGCGAATGGCTTGTTCTTACCAGCCGAGTACCGATCGTAGAAGTTCTTGTACATGTACTCAAAGTCCTGATATTCCGCATTGGGATAGCAGTCAATGCCCACTAGATCAACGGTTTTATCGCCCGGATACCAGGGGTCTAGAACGTCTGCCGACCCATTTCCAATATTGTTTGGCGACCAGAACATCTGCACAAGAGGGTTATCGGCAACCGCTTCGGCCACGTTCTGCCACGCAACAACAAATTCGGCAGGAGTTCCATAGTATCGTGGCTCAGCAGCCTTTCATCACGAAAACGAGTTTGGCGGTTAGATAAATGTAATATAGAGCGAACGTGTAAAAGGTGTACTTACAGGATCAACGTACCAATTCATCTCATGGCCGAAGCGGAGCCAGATACGAACTCCTCGCTCTGTAAACTTCCTCATTACGTCGGCAACTTGGTAAGCGACATCTTTAGTGATGCCCACAAAACCTTGAGCCAGCACAGGCATGACCGATGGTACAAAGATGGCACCAGAGTTCACAACATCGTCAAACTCTTCCATGAGCTCGTAGCCGTTGTACTGCTGCGAGTCCAGGTGAGAATACATGCCATATGTGGCACCCTTTGCTCCCAACCTGGCATTGATCTCGGTCATGGTGTATCGCAACGAAGTGACGCCCTCTGAGGCGTTCCCATTAGAAGGAAGCCAGCCGATGGCCACGCCATTGGTCTCAAGAAAAGTAGATGGCCATCCAAAGTTACGAACTGGTAATGGAAATGAAAGTTAGCGAAGTTCATGTTACGACATTTCCCTCAGAAAGTGCGTGGCATACCATGGTTTGAGGGGCTGGCGGCATACGCCGTTCCCAGCACGAGGGCTTTGGCAAGCTGGTGGAGAGCGAACTTCATTGTATCAAACTATTAGATGGTCGCCAAAGATGAAACTCCAACGTTGCAGTGCATGGCCAATTCCCCAGAACAGAGGGAAGAGTCGTTGAGATTTTATCTCAATTCCCTCACGGGGGTCTTGTCTTCACGCGTGTGCCGTGCTCCGCGTTCCAACTTGCAATAGTACGTATAGAGGTGAACTAGGTTCCTCATGCAGGAACCAAATAGGCATTTCTACGCTTGACCAAACTTATCGCCCGTCGTAAAGGCTAATCCGGCTAACAGCATCTCCCAGTCGCTGCACATGGGATTTGCAAACTGCGTTTCACATAGCATTTTGGACTCAGCCCGGAAACTCCTGTCAAGCGTACAAAGCCCCCAGCAGATCTTACCAAAATCGGATGATGGACGGAGCCGACTTGGAGAGCCTGCTCATAAGCCGTACAACCGTTCTTCGGGATCTCAAAACGTAAAACATCCGCGAGCCATTAACCTCGCTTCAAGCACGGATGCAGGGGATCAACGGATTTGTCTTTTCCGTGACTCAATTGGGTGGAAACCGGGGTAGTGACGCGGAACTGCCGAGCAAATCCTACTCTGGAATAGGGGGAATACTACCCCACGACCACGTAGGGCGAATTCGCGGGGTAGTACGGGATACGAATAGGCGGATCTGCAAAAATTGGAAACATAATCGGACGTGAGTCGTATAGACTACCTAGTAAGCAGCAGGATGCAGGTGTCAAGACTAGTCTTGTGTTACACACCTTCCAGTTGACAGCATAGTATTACATGGATCACAACGTGGGAAGGGCCAAGTCTACTTGGAGAGTTAGTGTCAAGCACTGCCGTTATGCGCGAAGCAGTTAAATAGCTTCAAGTTTTCATGTTCCCGAGTTTTCTTGAAAGGTTGGTCACACAATCCACAAGATTATCATCTACACTTGTTTGAAGTGTTCTACGCTCAGCCAAATATCCAATAATAAGAAATAGGACAAGTCTCTTCATCAAAATGAAGTTAATTTCTCTCGCACCATTTTTGGTCGGGCTCGCCTACGGGAATCCCGTCGTGTTGAAAAGAGGTAAGATAACACCCGAATTCCCTCGAGCGCTGAGCACGCATTCTTGAGTCTATAAATTAGCCTCTGGTCAAATTGACTTTCACCCATTCATTGCTGACGTTCTTGTGTCTAGCGGATGGGCTCCCGACCAACTGCGTCTATGTCAACAACATTGCCTTTGGCGCACTTCCCAGTGATGGAGAGCCCGGCCAATCCCCGCAATACTCCATGGCTCAGCTGAACAGTGCCCTGGGTGCCAAGATCTGCGGCTACGGCTGGTACTCGCAGGTCTCCTCCAGCAACTACGACGGATCCCAATTGACGGCAGTCATGAGTGACGTTGTGAGCTCCGGTGCTGTGTTTCAGCCAGCCGTAATGCCTACTCTACCTCTGGGTGATTTCACGGCCTCCACGGCATCGCAGGTCGCTTCCGTCCTGGAGAAGTTCACTAGCCAAGGTGTAGAGGTCTGGCTGCGTTTCGGGCACGAGATGAACTACTACCTGTCTGTTGGCACTTACTCGGGCACGGCGGCTCAGTTTGTCAACGCTTGGAAACTCATGGCAGCGGCTGTGGCGGGCAACGACAAGATCAAGATGTGGTGGTCGCCCAACAACGTTGGAAACAACGTGGGCTCCGTTGCTCAGTACTGGCCTGGTGCGGAGTATGTAGACTTGGTTGGCGTAGACTGTTACCCTAGCGGTTCCATCTCATCGAGCACCTTTGCAAGCTGCTACCAATCCTTTTACAGCACCTATTCTGCCGCCTACAACATTCCATTCGCCATCGGGGAGACAGGCTACTGCGGCAGCAGCGGTGCTGATGACTGGCTGTCCGCCATCATGAACCCCCCAAGTGGTTATCCCAACTATATTGCTGCGTCCTGGTTTGAGTACTCCAAGGAATGCGACTTTCGTATCATCGAGAGCGGCAACCTGGCAGAGACACAGCAGATCCTTCTCCATGGCGCCACCAGCTCCGGTGGCGGTGGCAGCGGTACTGGCAGCGGCTACCCTGCCGACACTTGCACTTGGGGGTAATTTTTCCTTTTCCTTTTTGCAAAGACGGTATAGCTAACCCGATATTAGATGCGAGGGATGGAGCTGCAGCTCCTCCAGCCCCTGTCAGTCAGCCTACACTTGCAGCGGAGGCGTCTGCGGAAGCTGCAGCTGGGGTTGTGGCGGATGGGACTGCAGCGCCTCTCAGCCCTGTAACGCTGACTACACCTGCGTGAGCGGCGTCTGCCACCACTCTGGCCCAGCCACCTAAGCAAGTTGGCCTGGAGTTGAATAAACATTGACATGAAACGTCCACGAGGAAGGTTGCGAGCTTTTGCTGGTCGGTGAGTTAATGCTTCGACAATTGATAAACTTTGTCAGGCCTCAAAATGTTTTTGGTTTGGCCAAGATCTTTAGCGGTCTGTATGAGGTTGTACATATATAGTAATTTGATCTTCGTTCCTATTGGAAGATAGCAACGAATCAAGAAAGATGCCAAGCGAACCATTCATTACTTCCAACCTAAAAGCAGCATTGTGAATCGTGTAGGTATAACACTTGCATAGAACTCAGAATCATCAACAAAGATCACGCTCCGTATCTGCCAAAGCTCTGAAAATCAGCAACGAAAACATAGCACTAAGAGTTTAGCACGAACATTATACAAAATATTTCGATTGCATTGCAATGTTCTCCACAGTGATGGCCTAGGCTGTGAACCAAGATTCGCTGACGGAGGGCCTTTTTAATGCAAGGCGATCTTGGGCTGCGGAAGACTTTCCGTAAATATGACGATGCCCTCAAGTAAAGAGATCAAAGCTGTACCAAAGACTCACAGCGTTGTTAGTCCACTGCCTTAAGGTTCCGTATTCAAGGACGAGCTCGCAGACTAGCTCTAGTCCATTTCTTCTACCTGTTCTAATCCATACGACCTTTTCTCGGCACAGTTGGGCCCAATATCAACTTCTGTTTCCTTGTTTCAAAGCCGAGGCATCTGGCGCGGGGTCTGGTAGGCTTCCGGTACCAAGTCATAATGGACGCCACTGCTTAGTGCCATGGCACGATGCTCATGCCTTCCAGAGTGATCAAAAGCGAACCCCTCCAAACCCCTCACTCCTCTCTCCAAATACCTACATCCTTGTAGAATAGGGGGCCAATTTACCGTGGGGTTGGCGAACGGGCATAGCAATGGCGCCTTCCAGCTGCAGACGCGGCGGTGATCAAAGATGCGGAAATGTGTAATCCGTGCCACAATGAGGTATAGCGCAATGACTAACGACTGGACGACACCACCAGGCCAGCTGGTTATACATACGAGCATGAGCCAGATCTGTAGTTCCAGGATAGAGCTAAGATTTTTCTGGACAACGACATCACAAGCCAAAAAAAAGAGGAAGAAAAGAGATGCAGCTCACGAAGACGGCAATCAATGGGGGTTGGGAGTTCAAGCAGCGCAGCTCGCTGAACGACTCTACGGCTTCCTCCTTTTTACCCGTGGCCCAATTCCCTACAGTGGCGCACATCGACCTCTTACACCATAAACTGATTTCTGATCCGTACATTGATGATCATGAGCTGGACTGTCTGTGGGTTAACGATGCGGAGTGGACCTACCGTACCTCACAGGTTCCGCACCCGGAACTTCAGGGGCCCCAGACGCGAGCTGTGTTGGTCTTTGAAGGCTTAGACACCGTTGTTGATGTGTTCTTGAACGATACATGTATTCTCAAAAGCCATAACATGCATGTGCAGCATAGAGTGGACGTAACGAAGCTACTGAAGGAAGCGAAGGGGCCAATCTCGCTGGAGTTGCGATTCTCCAATGCTCCTGAGTTTGCACGCCGAGAGAAGACTCGCATTGGCTATAAAGGCAACGATGCGGACGTTCACTTTGGTGGGCCAGAGAGGCTATTCCTGCGAAAAGCACAGTATCACTGGGTAAGAGCATTTTCGAAACTCTCCACGGTCAAGGGCAATGTATAGCTGATTTGATTCCAGGGCTGGGACTGGGGTCCAGCGATTAATACGTGTGGGCCATGGAAGCCAATCTATCTCGAGACATTTGAGCAGAGAATCGATGAGTTCTTGGTTCGCCAAGAAACGGACTCAGATTTGAAGAGGGCAACACTCACCATCAAAGGAAGCGTTGAGAACTGCGCTCTAACTCAAAAAGCTACTGTCGAGATTCAGGATCCTTCTGGGTCTGTGGTACAAACAAGCTCTCTTGATATATTGGAAGGGAAATTCAATACCAGTCTCGTCGTGGAGAACCCGCAGCTCTGGTATCCGCATCAATACGGAGCACAGCCGCTATATCAAGTCACTGTCAAGATACCAGACTACGACAGCAGGTCTCAAAGCATTGGTATCCGCCGACTGAGACTGCTTCAACATAGCCTTAAACATGCGGAGGGCACTTCGTTTGTCTTCGAGGTCAACAACATCCGCTTGTTCGCTGGTGGTTCCTGCTGGATTCCCAATGACTTTATGCTTCCTAGGACGACTCGCCAGCGGTATGAAGATTGGTTGCAGCTTGCAAAGGACGGCAACCAGAGCATGATCCGGGTCTGGGGCGGCGGCATCGTGGAGTCGGACGATTTCTACGACATCTGCGACAGACTAGGGCTGCTCGTGTGGCAGGACTTCTTATTTGCGTGCGGCAACTATCCAGCATCTCAGGAATTCATGGACAATGTGAAGATGGAAGCTGAACAGCAGCTTAGACGTGTTGGCTATCATGCTTCTCTCGCTCTGTGGGCGGGCAATAATGAGGACTACATGCTGGCGGAGAGATTTGGCTGGGAGCTCGACATGAAGGACGAAGTAGGTCCATGGCACGAGACCAACTTTCCTGCTCGTGAGATCTATGAAAGGCTGCTCCCTAGTCTCGTGGAGAGGCTGGGTGGCGATGTGCCCTACTGGAGAAGCAGCCCCTACGGGGGATCCTTTTCCAACGATACGACAGTGGGCGACACGCATATTTGGGACGGTATGTTTCCCCATACACATGTGGCATCTGCCTTGGAGTACTGACGATTCTTTGTTTAGTCTGGCATGGTAAGCTCTCTCCTTACCAAGACTACAAGGACTACACGTCTCGCTTCATCAGCGAGTTCGGATTCGAGTCTTGCCCTTCGCTGCGGACGCTTCATCGCGCCATCACTTCCCCCTCCGAGAGACACTCCCTATCTCGCACATTCGATATTCACGACAAGGGACCTGGTCACGGGAGGCGGTATCCCATGTACATGGGCGAGAACTTCAGGTTCCGGATGAACCCCCTGCGCGACTTCGTGTACTGCACACAGTACATGCAGGCCGAGGCGATGAAATACGCGTACAACTGCTGGCGACGGGAGTTTAGGGGCCCGGAGGAGGAGAACTGCGCAGGCGTACTAGTGTGGCAGCTCAACGACATCTGGCCGGGCTCGAGTTGGGCGCTGGTGGACGTAGATATGAACCGCAAGCCGGCATACTACATCACCAAAAGGGCGCTGGCCAAGACCGTTGTGGGAATGGAGCGGACGGTGACGAAGAAGCCCCCATATATCACAACGGGATATCTGCCGGAGAAGGCTTCGGTGGATGTTTGGGCGGTCAATGGCTCCTTGGAGGCGCTCAACGCCACGCTGAAGCTACGCATGTTTGACATTGCCACCGGATCAACTATTGAGCTCCCCAATAGCTGCAGCAATCTCAAAGATGGTCACAAATTGGAGCTGCCGCCGAACCAGACAACAGAGATAGGCAACATCGACATCCCCAACCCAGATCAGACCGTCTTCGCAGCCTATCTGGAAGATCGGCAAGGAACTATTCTAGCACGCTGGGTCTCCTGGCCTGAGCCGCTTCGACTAGTCCACCTCGCACGAGACCTGGCCGTCAAAATATCTTATGAGTCTGGTGAAGATGGAACTAGCGACAAATTGCTTGTCAGTGCGTCTGCGCCAGTAAAGGGAGTCATGCTGTCGGTGCCCATGGCTGAAGAAGGTGACGATGCCGTGTTCGAGGACAACTTCTTGGATCTGGTGCCCGGGGAGACGGTGCAAGTCCAGGTTCAGGGTCTCAATGGAAGATCCGTCCAGTCTCGTTTTCTGTATGACTGGGAGTTGGAGGAGAACTTTGAGCTATGAGGGTCCTCACAGTTATGCATCTACCTGTACATACCCATTTGGTCTTAGTACGTAGTCTATTTCACGTCAATGCCCAGAGAATGTAACAAGCAAACGAAACACAAGTCATGCAGCTTCTGGCTGAAACACGTAGAGTGTAAGTCTCGTCATACGGCTACGTAGTTGCATCTACAGTACGAGCATTAGCGCCAACTAACAAAGGTCAGATGCCTGCTGTATGTCTGTAAGTTACAGTAGTGGGAAACT